AGTATAATACGAGGCCAGCACCTGGCAGGCACCATTCACCACTCCAGCATCGACGTCCCCTTCCTCATTATCCTCCACCACCTCCTTCAACCTCTCCAACCATTGCCCTGACCACCCTCTCAGCTCTCTCGATATCCCCTCGGTCAACCTCGGCGAGATTTTCCTCCTCGAATATACCTCCACCACGACACTCTCGATCACCAGGAATATCTGTACCGACGCGTTCAACAGATCAAACTTCTCCCTCCCGGTTTCGTCCGGCTGTCTGTACGGCACCGTACAGTCCACATCCGATGTCGCTGGCGGTCTCCCCATCGACGTCGACAAGAACAAGTCCACCACCCTCAGGCTCTTCCACAACCTGTCCCTCTGCCTGTGAATGTCGGGCCCGAACCTCGCATTGACCGCGGTCCTATGCACCCCTATCGACAGCGCTGCCCGTGCCGCCAGCCCAAAAAACAAAAACGCGGCATTAATCTGACACGCCCCCAGCGAGTACAGCGTGATAAGTATAAAAACCTGCACGCTCGCCACTCCCAAATTCCCCCCTAAACTCGCAAGCGCCACGTTCCTCGCGTAGTCAAAATACTGCTGCCCCGTACCTTCACCCCCCTTCTCAATCTTCTGACACCCAATCGCCAACACCAAATAATTCACCGCCCCAGCCAGAGCATCATCCCCATGATCCTCCGCAGCCCACTCGATAATATCCCTCTCCAGCCTCGCATCATCCTCAAACAAATCAATCAACCCCCTCGTAACCTCCAAATACGCCCCCACCGCAGCAGGCCCGATCTCAATCCTCACCCGCGGCGGCAACGCCCCGTAACCAGACGACACCGACGGTCTGGAAGATGCATTCTCCAGCGCCGAGTACCCCCCCGTCTCGGGCGCAAAAGCATGCGCATCCACCCGTGTGGTCACCAGCCTCCTCACCGTCTGGAAAAACGACAGCGGCGCGCAGTCCCCGATAAAGACCAGCTTCCCCTGCGCGTCACACAGCAGCCTCGCCTCCCTCGGCACCTCGGTGTCCTCGTGCTCTTCCAACGGATGTTGCTCCTCAATCCGGTGGTGGTGCTGCTGCTGCGCCGGCGCACCGATCCGCACAACCGGATGATTTGAAGCCGCCCCCGGCGACCCAGAAGCATGCGAAACAGAACTCCTCACATCATCCTCACGGTGGCCGGCGGTGGTGGTGGTGGTTGACGGCCTCGGACGCCTCACACGCGGGGCGGTGTACCGGCAACTGTCGGGGTCCCGGCGGCGGACGCAGTACCCGCACGGCAACACGCCGCTGCACCGGATCTTGCGCTGCTTGCACGTGTCGCACGCGTTGGCGACGCGGGACCGGACGAGGCCGCCGGCTCTGGTTTCCATCGGTTTTTTTTTTTTTTTTCTTTTTTTTTTTTTTCTCTTGATTCAAAACGGTCGTTGTTATCGTGGGAAAATGAAGGAACGCTGCGGGGGGTGCAAAAAGATTAGATAGCGCGCGTGGGACAGGGCAGCCTATCAAAGCTGCATGTGGTGCACTAATCGGGAAGGAGGAGCTTGGCTTTCAATTCAAAGACGTCATAACGGTAAGATGGCGCACACTTAGGTCAGGGTTAGGGTATGATATATCATCACCAGTCTCAGAATGCCCAGCAGAAGTTGGAGCAATGTTCAAGATTGACTACCTCTTCCCTAAAAGAGATCTCTTACATACAAATACATGTACAACCAGAATCGACTGAACGCAGCGCACACCTCCCAATTCCAATCTCATACAACAAACCAACACATTATCCACCCCACCACCTCCATAAAAGCCACCAGACATCCTATAATCCAGTCCATATCAACTCCCAGCCAAAACTCCAATCCCTCCTCCTCAAATAACCCATAAATCAACCCCTCACAACCCCCCCAAAAATCTCCCCGCATACTCCACGGCCAACAGCCCCTTCTCCACCACCTCCTCCCTCTCCGTCGCCCTCCCCATCCCCTCTAGATACGTCCTCAAACAACTCTCCAGCGCCTTCTTCCCTTCCTTATTCTTATCCTTCCTCCCAACCGCCAACGGACTCTCCGCCTCCAGCCCCAAATGCCTCATCACCGCCTCCTGCTCCCTCCTCACAGCCCCCAGCTCCCCCACAATGCTCTTCATCCCGTTGAACAAAATCTCATGCCTGACCGCCGCCCGCATCTCGTCCCTTTCCAGCTGTTCATAAAGCCTCACCATCCCGTCATAGGCCCCGCGGAGGTCCTCTTGGACGTCACCAATCTTGTTTTGCATGTCCTGACCGGCACTCTCAGAAGCAAGAGCAGAGATTTTGGTGTCGAGAGAGTGCAAAAGCGACTTGATAGCCGCGACGTCGTCGTTTTCGGCAGTGTTGCTGGGTGTGGTAGACGACAAGGTACCAGGCGACTCCTTCCGATCCAAATAATCCTCAGCAGCAGCCATCACCCCACTCCCGTCAGTCCCAATCTCCTCTCCAACACGGTACTCAAACTCCGGCCGGGCAAACACCTCCTCAATAAACTCCTTGACCTCCTCATCTCCCTTCTCATCAGCCACATCATCCTCGTGAATGCCAAAGTCCACGCCGGGGGTGCCATCCAGCTCCATCTGGCTACAATCTTGCGCTTCGTCCATCTCAGAGGGCAAAGAATCACGGCGGCAAGGGTCCTCCTCACCCACAGCCGCCGACGGCTTGGGCAGATCAGGAAACATCTCCCCCATCCTGTCCATCCCGGCATCCCCATCCCCCACCACAACCAGCGACTTTCTCTTCTTCTTCTTCTTCTTGCTCTTCTTCCCACTCCCACCAGGACTCCTCTTCTTCTTCCCGCTCTTTTCCCCCTCGAGCCCCTCCTCCTCCTCCACCTCCTCCTCCTTGACATCCACCCCATCAGCCCCCGCATCACCACCCCCGCCCACCTCCCCATTCTCACCCCGTCTCCCCCCCCCAACCCTCCCAATCCTAACCTTCAAACGGCGTTCCCCTCCAACCGCCCCAACTCCCCAATCTTTCTCTTTCACCCCCCCAACCCCAGGAGTAAACATCTCATCCTCATCAATTAAACCTAAACCCTTCTTTAACTCCCCTCCCCCTGAGCAGTGTTCGGAGTCCCCATCATGGTCATGAATACTCCCCCTGACCTTAGTCTCCCAAATTTTTTAACCCTTTTTGCAGCCGGTGATTGGGAGATATAAAGTTCCGAGTCGTTTTTTGCTTTTAGTGGAGTTGAGGGAAGGGAGGAGTTTGTTCCTGGGGAGTTTAAGTAGTTTTTACGGTTTATGGTGTTTGTTATGTGGTGAGGGGGGGGTAAAATTGTTCGGGTGGGGGGGGGAGGGAGGGGGTGACAACCAGTATGAGGAGTGACAGGGTCGAGAGGTGGTTGGTGGTATGCGCGCGAGTGAGTGGATGAAGAGGTGTGGTCGCGGTGAGCAGTGATGGAAAGATGTGAGTTGACTGGCGGAAGGGTTGCAAGTCGCAAGTAAAAGTGTAAAGTAAAGATGAAAGTCGCAAGTCGCAAGTTGAAGAGGGAAGAGTTGTGAGTCAGAGGTGAAGACGTGAACATCAGTAAACAACCTCACTGCTGGACGACAGGCTACTTTCGTGAGTGAGAGAGAACCCTGCCGGGTAGGCACCTGTAACAAAGCAGCTCACGGCTGTGGTCGGGCTGGTGACTGTTTGTTTTGGAAGGTAATAGTCACGGTAGGCGGTTCAGGATGGAAGAAAGGGTCTGCGAGAATGCCGTCTGACCCGTGAGATGAAGAAAGTTGGAGAATTATTTAAACCAAGAGAAGGCTAGAAAACCTGGCGACGGGCTCTTTCCTCTTTGCAAGCGGGTAAACAGGTCCACGGAAAGTAAAATCTCGGCGGAAGGTGAAAGGCACGGCGGCAGCTGTGATCAAGTTTGTCAACAACAATGAGATAAACAGTGGGCGTTGTTAGACCCTGACGGCGAGATGTTTGCCTGGCAACAAGACTCACGATGTATGCTGCATACTTTGGATGCGGTGAACCGTATTCCAGACAAACGCTAGTAGTTCAACTCCGAGAGGCAACAAGTTCCATATCAAGGGGCAACAGCGCACTTGTATCAACTCTCACACAAGGGGCTCTCCCATCATTTAGCATCAATGTTAACGAATGGTATGTATACAAACATTTTGACTTACCGCCTAACCATCCCAGGGGCCCATGATGCTACCTATATGATCAAATGTACGCGCTATATGCCAGACGACCAAGTACTTTGCAACCAATCACAAAAAAAAACCAAAAAAAGAAACAAAAAAAAAACCAAAAAAAAAAACTGAAAAACAACCGAAAAAAAAACACCAAATGCCCTACCCAAAAAAAAATCCCCACGATCAAACATAAACCCCCAAAGAAAAAGACCCAAAAAGATCAAGAAACCTCAAACAACCCCCCACTCATCCACACCAAACTCCCCACAAACGATCCCACCACCACAATCGTCACTATCGCCGCCCCCGCCTTATCCCCCGCCGTGATCTGCCTCATGGGATCCAGCTCAAAAGCGCTAGACCCAGCATTCGGGTCACCCACCGACGTACCACCCGTCGAGTTCGTCAACGGACCATCACTATTATCCAACAGCAGCGTAGACAGCGCCGCCAAAGCGCTCATCTGTTGACCCGCCGGTCCATTGGACACATCGCCATCGTACTCCCCCCTATCCCAGCGAAAGCCGCAGGTTCCGTCCGCCAGACATGATTCCACCGCGCCCTTTGTTGATGACCTGAGGACCTCGAGGATCGAATCCCGGGTGAAAGGGGCCACGATGGCGGTCGAGGCCAGAGCGCGGTGCATGTACCCCTTGAAAGAGTGCTGATCGACATTGCACTGGACTCGGTCCTTGAGCTCGCAGGGGCGTTCGACCATGATGCCTTCGGGGAAGAAGTGGTCGACGGTTCGGTTGAGGAGACCGGCGACGCGGGTCTTCCACTGGGCCTGCCTGTCGCCGGTAGTCTGGGGGTCGACGGTCAGTTTTCTGTGGGAGCAAGAGGGGAATATTCAAGACATACATAGTTGTACATGATGGCGGCGCCGTGGAGCAAGACAGCAGCATTGGGCGACCATTGCACCTTGTTGAGGTTGGTGCAGTTTTGCGGAGTGTTGGCACCATCGTACACATCGTAATCCTCCGTGATGTACCCAACGCCCTCGGTCCAATCCCATGTCCGCTCGGCCCACTCGGCATATGTTTCATTGTTTGTGTACCGCGCGAGACGAGCGGCGATGTTGAGGAAGACAACGTTGGCAATAGTATTCTTGTAATCGTAGCCGTTGTTGGTATGGGGAACCTGCCAGCGGAGACCACCGGCGCAGTCCTGGTTCTCCCACCTGGCGGCTTGGGTGTTGAAGGTGGCTTGGGCGAGCGCGAGATACTGCGGGTCAGTGGGCGCCGGGTTGGGGAAGTTGACCTCGGCGGCCAGCATAGCCGTCATGCCCCAGAAACCTTGATCATCGTTGCCGAGAGAGGCGGTCCAGTTGGGGTGCATAAAGGCAAAGGTAGGAGCGCCAGCTTGGTGGACGATGGATCGGACGGTCTCGTTGTTGTATGTGCTATCGCCTGTGTAGTGCCAGTAGTCGATCAAGGTGCCGAACATTGCGCCGGCCTGCCACCAGTAATAGTCGCCGGCCGGTGGCGGGCCTGGCAGAATGCCCGGTGTCTGGCCTGGCTCGTCACCGCGGTAGTACTCCCAGAGGTTGGCAGCAACGACTTTGGCGGCTCTCTTGATGGAATCTGACCCGTCTCTTTCGTTAGCACACGGTCCGTACCGTCTGTTTCTGCTGCTGTGCTAGCTCCCGGGAACCCACCTTGAGAATCAAGATTGACCTGCAGCTTGTTTCCGGACTGCGCACTGGCACCCGTCACTGCGCACAGCAGCAGCGCTGCCGCAGCAGAAGCGTTCGTCCATCTCATGTTTGCGGTTTGTCGGCGCGCATCGGGTGTCTGCTGTAGCTGTGGCCTGTCGGTGCTGCTTGGGAAAGTCGACGTCGCTGGGAAAAGGAGCTAGGGAAATAAGGCTGGGATCCTCAAGCCGAATTCGGTTTCGAGTAGTAGGGAGAAGACGGAGATTTCGGGGATGAGGGCGAGGGGAAGGCTGCTGCACGTGGGCAGAAGGGCAGGGCAGGGCAGCGGCCGTCAGCAGTTCGACATCACCACCTCAAAAGAGTTGGCTGTATATTCCCGTCGGAAACAACCGGTCAATCGTCGTCGTCGTCGTCGTCAGCATGCAACTCCCGTTCGGGGTGAGAATGGAACAGTGGTTGACCTGACGTAAGGGCCCGAGGCCAGGGCGCCGAAATGCCCAATTTGGAGACATTTCCTTTGTTCTGGGAGTCTTTCCGGGTCTCATTGTTCCTGAGCAGGGATTGTTCAAATGGCTGCTGGGGCGGTGCATTGCAGTGCCCGTGTGCTGTGGGGGGCGTTCGAGACGGCGACGGCTGCTGTTGGCTGCTGTTGACTGCTGTTGGCCCGTCGCATCGACTCGTCAGCCCAGAAGTCCCAAACGGGATCTAGCGCGTTCTAGTTCGTATAGGTTCGTTCTGCCAAGGAGGACCCTCTTTTGCGGGGTACGTCCCGTCATCCGTTTCATGCTTGGCACTTTGAGACATGTCTTGGGCTCCCTGAATGGATCGTGTCAAATCAGGTATGGGGTGCCAAAAGGTGTCAATTCTGTTGTTGTACGAGGGTGAGTTGCCCGGGTGGTTGGAAAAGGCCGAACCCAGTGGCCCAGGTCCCACTGCCAAGATGTTAATTCCTTAACAGTGGGCCCGGTTGACTATTTTGACAGATCGTTCTTACATTATCTTCGAGACAGTAACTGTACTACATACAATAGCGACAAATAGCAGCATGATATCTCAACGAAGGATTAGCCTTCAAACTCCACGATGCCATCCCTTTCCTCAGCAACTAACAACGCCTGATGCCCTGGCCGTTGTTCATCTGGCCATTGGGCCTCGATCCACGGTTCAACCCTACCATGCTCGTGTTGTAACTGTCCCTCCTCTGATGGCTGTCCCTGTTGTCGTAGTTGTCCCTGCTGTAGTAGTTGTCCCTGCGCTGTCCAGCTTCGTTGCCCTTCTCGAGGTCAGCGACCCTCTTAGTTAGACTAATGTTGACCTGCTTCAGGTCTGTGATCTGCTTCTCTAACATGGCGAAGCGGGAGTCGTTAGACCGAGCGTGATTCTGGCGATCCTCCTCCTCCTCGGACTCTTCCGCAGCACCGGCGGGTCCTGATCTGTCGACATTTCGCTCCAACTTCAACAGCCGGGAGGTCACATCTCGCGCGAGGCTCTTATGATCATCGCGATACCGCTTCACCTTCTTCTGGAGCTTCTCATACCCGGAGGTACTGCCCATCAGCTCCAGTTTCTTGCTGACCCTGTCGAGCTTTGTTTCCATGTCGCTGCGCTTGGACTCGGCCACGGCGACCTTCCCGACATAGTCCAGAATCTTGGAGTCAAGGGTGGCAAGCTTCTCTTCCAAGGGCCCTTTGGCAGCATTCACTTTAGCGGCTGCCACATGTGTGATGTACGACTGCTTCTTTTTCTCCAAGACCCCGGCAACCGCCTCCGCCACAGTGGACACAAGTCCAGCGGCTTTGCCTCCTTTGTGAAGGCCAATATCTGCCCTCAGGCTCTCGATCGCGTTAGTGTGGGATGCGAGGATGTCTGAATGTTCTCCAATTGTGATGTCGATGACCCTCATACGCTGGTGGACCTTTTTGAGCGACTCGCGCTGGGTATCCCCATTATTGGCCAGCGCTGAGCCAAGGATTGGGGAACTGACGGTCTCGGCCGTGGATATTTCTGAGCTCAGCCCCACAGAGGAGTCGAATCGCAGTGTTGGCGGTGATGATGATGGGGAGACGACCCTCACTGAGCGGATCGAAGGGCGGGTCGACGATGTTGGAGGGCCTGTTCTTGAAGGGCCGGTCGAAGTTTTTGAAGGGTCTGCCGACGGTTTGGAAGGCCCAGACACCGATGAACGTCGTGTCGACTTTCGAGGCGTCACTGGCCCCGATGTAGTCTTCTTGCGCTTTTTAGACTTGTGCTGCTCGAGGCTCTCCCCAGGCAATGTGAGTGGCTCCTCGTCTGTGCTGTCGTCTTCGACATCATTCGGCCTGTGCTGAGCTAAATTGAAGAGCGCGCCCTTCTTTTTGAGCTCGGCCCAACTATCGCGAAGCTCAACCTTGGAGAGATCTGATGTGGAAACGTCCCCTCCAGCCGAGTCGAGGAAGCTGATGTACTTATCAGCATACATGGCGACATTGGATCGTCTCCGGCGCCCTTTCGAATCGGCGTAAGCCCTGCGCGCGTGGACAAAGATCCCTTCCAGCAGCTTGATAGTCGTCTCTCCACATCCTGAGAAGGTGTCTGGGGACAGGTCTTTCCAGTATGAGGGCGAGGGATGGTGATCAGAGAAGAACAAAAGAGCCCGAAAGAGCAAGGCGATGTTGTTTTGCACTCTGGTTTTGGTGATTTCCTCGGGGTTGGCGCGATTCCGAGACCCCTTCGGCACACTGGTGTAGTCAGGGCATATCAAGGCCTTCCAGATCCTTTTCTTATGTTCTTGGATCTCTTCAACAGTCTCGGCATCAAACAGGAAGCCTGGCATCTCCCAAAAAGGGGTGTCAGGAACCATCTTGAAGTCCGCCATGACTTCGATATCCGAGTCGGTCGGGCTCATGTTGTGCCCTGGCTTGAAGCTTGGCAGGCTTTTCCAGTATCTGGCTGGACTGGGTCAGATTTGGACCGACATGAAAAGGGGGTCTAATTCAATACCTGAAGAACTTGAATATCAAGTTCACACTGAAAAGCGCTTGTGTAGCCTGTTCCTTTCAATCAGGAAGGAACAGCCTCAAAGTCGAGTTGTCGGAAAGAAAGAGCGTTTAAAGAACCGACGCAATGGCGATGGACTCTGAGTTGCCAGAAGGAAAGCGACTGGCAAACGAAGAAGACGAGTTTGGAGTTCGAGTTTCCAGACAGAAAAGCTACTCGGTACTCAAACCACTGTCCTGACAATGAGCTGCCGGACATTAGAGGGACGTGAAGGTCGAGAAAATGGCCCTGAAGTTGAATTGTTCCGAAGAGCGATTGGAAGAACAAAAATTGGCCCTGGAGCCGGAGTGGTCTGGAAGAAAAGAGGGCTTTGAAATTCGAAACGAACAAGCTCAGGCCTGCGCTGCCAAAGAAATCGCGACTTGAGAATCGAACCAAGCCTGTGCGGCCAAAAGAAAAGCTGCTCGAGGATTTCAAAACTGGAGAATCAGACGGGGCTCTGCCCTCGGTGGGTAGGTGGTGTAGAGAGGATGACCCCTTCAAGAAGAGAAGCAAAAGCCAAAGAAGCTTGTCGCTGACAAGGCTCAACACAACTTATGGAACAGGGACGGGAGGGTGTGTTGGAAAAGGGAAGTCGACCCCAGGACAGAGTAGTTGAACTGGGTGGAATATCTGGCACTCCGCCATTGGAGTATCAAAATGGAAGGCACGACTTTCCAGGCCCCCTTCCCCATGGTAACGGTCAGGTTCGATAAGCTGAGTCGCACCCCTTTTTCGCTGCAGTTGGACCTTTGTTCCGACCAGTCTCAAGGCGATGCCAATTAGATTGGAAATTGTGCACGATTCTCTGTTCCATGTTAAAAACATTACTTTGAAGCTGGAACGACTTTTCGCATCCCAAGTTGCTTGTCCATCCACCTGTTTATCCCGACAAGGCCTGGATTGCGTCGATGGTGGTCATGTAGTTCAGGGGCTCAGGGGTAACCGTCGGAAATGTGGGCCTCTCAAGGAATGGACCGTGCTCAAAGCTTAGCATCGGCATCGGGGAACCCGACCCGCGACTCGTGCTCTTCACCAAAACGCTGTCGCAAGCCGAAGACAGTGGATAATGCGACAGGCGCATCCACCGACGACGCTCTTATGATTTGAACGTCCCAGCAATATCGCAATGGCGTCCACCGGAGGTAGCACCAGGGAGCCCTGGACCGGCGAGACAAAGTCCAAGTTTAACGGGTAAGTTCCGGCCCCTCCTGGAGAACATGACAACTGCTAATGAACCTCTGTCACCAGCAAAGACAGAAGCGAGTTCCTCGATCCATGCCAGGAGGCTGCCACGAAAAGCATCCGGTGTCTGCACCGCAACCAGGGTGACCGAACCATGTGCTCCGATTACTTCCAGTCAGTTGCGACAATCTGATACTGTTGGGGGGGATAACGGTCGAGCAGACTGCGCTAACAATCGGTGTTTTGGGAGGTGTACAGGGCATACAGAGATTGCAAGAAGATTTGGGTATGAAGATTGGGTCTTGGTGAATGACGGATTGCATGCTGACCGTCGCTGGTGTGGGACAGATCGAGAAGCGCAGGATAGAGAGCAAACGAGGAGGCAATGCTTAATGCTTGACGGCCGACACCGAACGAACTAGATACCCCGCGCTGTTCCCACGACGGACCAGAGACCTGCTGTGATTCTAGGGTTGATATACCAAGGAATTGGCCTCCAGGAATAGAGATACGGCGTGGGACAACTACTTCTCAGGGCAGAATAGACAGGACTACTCCTGTCTCTGTAACAATTTTGTAGTTTTATTTCTCCTCTCTTGTCATACTACGTAACGACTGGCAGACATGCTATTATGCAAACCCATTTTTTCTATAAGATTTAGCAAGAGAGGAGACGGCGATTATAGCTGTTGAACTGGCTTCTTCGTGGCAGAGGCTCACCGCGGTGAAGGTGGGGTTGCAAAGGTCAAGCTCGTGCCCCACAACCCCACCAAAATGTTGTGGTGAGCTTCTTGTTCCCTCGCATGTACGAGTATCCCATCAGCATCTTGGCCCAGAGCGCAACAGGCTTTGGAAACAGTTCTTTTTGAAACTGTTTGCTCGTGTTTCTCAAGTACTGCGGAGGTTTTCATTGTTGTTTGTAAGCCGCACAAGGTGTACGAGCAGCCCAATTCCTCGCCTGCCATTGGCCCCTCACCTTCAACTCCATCCTGCCCCCCACGTCGGGTTGGCTGGCCTTCCTCTCTCGCCTCGTCTTCGCCTGCGCCTGCACCAAAAGAGAACCAATTATGGCGTACAACAGATACAGATATGGGCCACCGGCCCTCAAAAGCAGCGTCGACGTGCAACTGCAGTCTGCGTTTAGTGATGGGAACTGGTCCGCCGTCATTCGGCTTGCTGCAAAACGCTTTGCGACTCTCAAGGACCCTTATTATGAGGTACATGCCCTGACTGGCTACCAAGAAGCACATGATACTGAATATTCCATGCAGGCTATCAGAGTCTCTACTGAGGCCCAACTACAGGGCACTGCCGAGAAATGTGCCGTACTCGTCCATGTCGACGAGTTGGTCAGGAGCAAGAAGACCCCTGATATCGACACCCTCGACCTGTATGAGTGGGCCTGTCAGGACTTCATAGGTTATGAGATCGACTTTGCCGAGACATTTGGCCCTTTGAGAGCACGATGGGTCAAGGCAAACGCCAGCAGTCCAATGGCCTCATCTTGTCTTCAGGGTTGTTTGGAACAGTGGGATCTTGTCAGCGCTCAGCAGATTGCAGCGACCTTGGACAAGACCTATGCCAACACGACTGACCGCCGGTACATGTTTTGGAACATCACTTTGACATTCCTCCTTTCAGTATGTATACTCGCCTATTAACAATGGTGTCGAGACGAGGAATTGACGTGTCCAGATTAGCCCACAGTGCACTGAAGCCAGTCGCAAAGTGTACAGCCTTTTGACAGTCAGACAGCTCCAAAAGGCAGCTGATATCACGGAAAATTCCGAGAAACTCGAAAAGACAGACAGAGGTCTTCTCACAGAAGAGGAGGTCTGCCTCTACTACCGCGTGTTATTGAGTCATGGCACCAAGGAGGAGTTTCTGGCCCGCCTCAGAAGCCCCAAACTGGGTGCCATCAGTCAACTCAAACAGGGACACAAGCTTCTTTTCTGCGAGTGTCTCGATGCTTTGGAAACTTGGGGTGAATGGGACACCATCTACGAGCTCTGCCGTGATGCTCTGAAGTTGGGTCTCGACGGTTCCACCACACCATTCTTCGTCTGCGATTTGAGGATATGGAAGATGTTTGTTGCTGCCGCCACCGAGGCAACGAATGCGGATGCGTCAGTGTTTCTTACCTGGCGGGGGTGTCAACATACTAACAGGTTTCTAGGGCTCTCGATGAAGTACAAGAGGTCCTCAAACAGTTCATCGAGCTCAAGGACAAAGCTACCCCCATGTACAAAAAGAACATCAGCCTGGCGCTGCTCGAAACGACCTTCAAGTTGCCTTCAACCACGATCAACCCCGACCACGAAGACACAGCTCTGTCGCCAAAGGTCGTTCAAATAGGGCTTTTCCTCGATCAGTATTACGAGAGATTTGCCGCTTTTGATGACGTCAAAGGCTATGTGGCTGAGCTGGGATATGAAGAGGCAAAGACATTCTTGGAGGATGTGTTGCCCAAAATTCCAGGCGAGGTATGCTTCTTCTGTTGGTCTGCATTCTGCAGATGCTAACGGGAGTCTCTCAAGAATCCCACCAAGGCTCAGCAGATCATCATCAAGGCCCTCGAATGCAGGCTGCGCTACACTCTCACCACCTGCCCACAAACACTTTCTCCCCATCCAACCGTGGTGGAGGGAACAGACCAAGGAAAGCCCTTCCAATGCCGCGTTTGCTCCAACTTGGCCAAGAGCCCATGCGAAGGATGCTTGAGGAAGCTGATCATCGATGCCGCTGACGCACACAGACAAATAACTTCTGATAAGGAGCTCTTGGCTGCTATTCCCAAACTGGACCGAGACCCCCGACTTGATTTGGCCCTTGTGATGGGAAATTCTCTGCTCAAACTGTCGGGACTGCGGCCTGGGCTGCCGAATTTCGGTCAGTCGTTATGGCAGGATGTCCAGCCTGATATTTTGCTGCAGGCTGTTTTGCTTCTCGACACGCAGCTGAAAGTGACACCAAATGACAATGGATTGCGGCTGTTGCTGGTGCAGCTTTACCTCCTTTTCGGCTGCGCCTCCTACGCACACCAGCTCTGGGCTCCCCTTGACGTCAAGCGGACGATTCAGGACGCCCTGAGCCCGTTGTTCTTTGATAGGATATCCAGCATCTCGCCAGGGTTGTTTCAGGGAACTCGGCCCCTGATGGAACCGCTGCGTGCTTATTACACGCAAAGTCTGCGGGATCCTAGCCCGGTGAGAATTTGGGATGCCTTTTCGTCTGGTAGCTACACGAGTATTCTTGACATGGCCGAGTATGACAAGAAGCTGCGCACCAGCTGCACTCTTGTGATGACACTGGTAGAGGAAAGGCGCGCCACCAGGCTTTTTGGTGGCAAGCTTGATGTTGACATTGATGATCACATTCTCGCGAGTGAGTTTTCCCCGATCGATATGATGTACCATGTTTACTGACAGGTCCCCAGCCGATATCGTGGAGGACACCACCCTTGTTCACAAGACCGACTACGGCTCCTTCCCCAGCCTTGAAAGTGCCAACGGGCCCCCGATTCAAGAGTTCATCCGCCTCGGCCCAGGTCCTTCTGTACGTCCCCATTCCCTTTTCTTCCACAACTTGTATGCTGACCATATCAGAACGAGCGCTCCCACCTCGCCTTCCTCGCGGAGCAATACCTCGACCTCCTCACCTACACCCCACCAAAAGATTACAAACCCTCTAAAGCCGCCGAAGCCGCCGCCCGGGACAAGGCCTATGCCCTCGAAACGCTCACCCGCATCAACACCTCCCTCACTGACCTCCTTCACAAGCCCAGCACCCCCAAACTCTTGACTCCTGCCGAAACAAACTACTACACCGCTTTATCTCTTCTCTCCGCCCTCGTTCTCACAGCCATCTCCCTCCCCAAATCAGAAACCTCTGTTCCAAAGATCGTCTCTCAAACAACGCAACCCCTCAAAACAACCCTCACGACCCTCCGCACGGGGTTGTTATCGCCCAAGTCGACCGTTCCCGCCACAACCCAGCAGGCGATCTCCTCGCTCTGTGACATGCCCTCTTTTGCCTCGGTACGTGATGTCGCTTTTGCTGTCAAGCTCTCCGCGGCGTTTGTCCTCTCCCACCACGAGAAGGAGACAGCAAGGGACAAGTCTGGCAAGTCGGGGCTGCACAAGGAAGTTGTCGCTGAGATGAAGGCTTTGGAGTCGGCGGCGGCAAAGACGCTGGGGGAGGCCAAGGGTCATGTTGGGGTGCTGAAGGGGGTGATGAATGAGAGTGGGTGGTTGGATAAGTTGTTGGATGTTGTTTTGGGGGAGGAGGACAGGGAGATGGGGGAGTTGACAGAGAAAGTGAGCGAGATTGTGGAGGGGAGGGGAGGGGCCGAGGAGTGGGCTGGGAAGGTGGTTGATGGCTGGAGGGAGGGGGTGAAGGGGTGGGGGATGGTGAAGTTTGAGTAAGGTAGTGAGTGTCATTTGCAAAGAGTTCCATATGCTTGAGAATGTTTCCTTGTGATCCAATCCGGCTATGCAATAAAAATAAACAGAGAAACCGAACTAAGGTGAAATAAATAGGTATCATATGCCAAGCAATCCCCCCCAAGAAGCAAAACCCCCTCTTCCCCCTCTTATCATCTTTCCTCCGTCTCCCACAACTCCCCCCCAATCCTGCAGACTTTAAAAACTCCCACTCCCCCTCCTCTTAGCCCTCTCCCTAGCAGCCCTAGCCAAAATCCCCTGCTGCTCCTCGCCCAATGTAACCCAAGTCCAAAACCAAGCCATCGTCTCGACAAAAACAAACGTGAAAAACACCCTGTTTTTCAAGGCATCACCCCCCCAGCCAGAGGGGACATACCCCGGGTTATTGTTCAGCGCTTGATGCATATTGGGGTGGTTGACAAAGCGACTTTTGGCGGACTCGTCGTGGTGGTAGAAGATGGGGGAGGAAGGCGAGAAGAAGAAGGAGTAGATTGAGAGGGAGAAGCAGATTGAGACTCGGAGGGGGGCTTGGGTGCCCCAGTGGGTGATGAGGGAGATTTCGTCTGGGTAGGAGAGGGTGGCTAAGTCGGAAATGGCGAGGAAGGCGAGGAGGAAGGATAAAAAGGCGAGGGCGGGGGAGGGGACGTCGAAGGATCGGGAGGGGGGGAGGGCGAGGGAGTCGCCCAGGAGGGAGACCATGCTTTGGTCGGAGATGGCGGTTGGGTTGGTCAGGAAGAGGAAGGACAGGGTCAGGTGGAAGAGGGAGAGGGAGGTGAGGATCGTGCGGGAGGATATTAGGGCCATGGTTGAGGCCGGCTTTGAAAGGCTAGCTTTGGCGTTGGGCCAGATGATTTGGACGACGGGCGATGGGGGGGAGGTTTGGTAGTTTTGATGCTGGGTGTGCATTCAGTTGTGGCCAGATGCTCAGTCGTCAGAGAGTGCTGGGTTCGCGGGATTCAGCTCTCCCTCGGGTCGGTTGGTCTGTGTCGTGTGAGACACCAGGATGTCGTGTGGTTTGCTGGTGGGCGAGCTTCAGCTTCGTGTCGGTTCCGTCACAGTCCAAAAGGGGCACAATTACAAGCCTTATCGGCAAGCTATCCTTCCGATAAGCGAGGGTCATTGACCGGACTTGTTCTCGAATAAATATGGGCCACGGGATCTGTCAAGCCACATTTATGCTTAAACGTTCTAAGTGTGGCTTGGGGCACCCGGGGCTTGGCACTGCGACCCCTTTGGGCAAGAGGAGCAGGGATCCCACGATCGCGGGGTCCATATTGCTGTCTCTCACTGCCTTTTATGAACTGAATCCCGTCAGATGGGACATTCGTGAGTTATCTATTTCAAGATTTAACTGATTTAAGAAAGCCAACGGGGTAGTGTTGAAGAACAATTGTTACTATCCGAACAAAATCCCAAAAAAACACCACCTTCACCCACCATCTCATCAACCACCGCCACAACCATGACAGCAGACGACCTCCCTAACCCCGAGCCGACGCTCGACATTGACAGACACCTAAAATACTGGAAGATGTGCCTCCAGTCCCCCCTCCCCCACCACTACCTCTCCAACGAAGGAAACCGCATGGCCCTGGCCTACTTCATCATCAACTCTATCGCCATACTCACACCTCATGCTAACAACAACAACAACAACAACAACAACAACAACAACACTGATAACAACCTCATCACTCCGCAGGACCGGAGAAAGCTCCGAAAATGGGTCCTCTCCCATCAGCACCCAGGAGGTGGCTTCTCCCCTGCCTCGTCACTTGTCTACCCCCTTCACGGTTATGAGCAGTCGGAACCAGAAACAGGATCTCAACCGGCAGAAGCAGCCGGAATGGCCAATGCGCCAGGGACTTTATTTGCACTGCAGCTACTGGCGCTGTTGGCAGATGAGGATGATCCAGAGAGGGCATTCGACGGGGTCGACAGAGCACAAACACTCCGCTGGTTACGGAGGCTGCAGAGAAAGGACGGGAGTTTCGGGGAGGTGTTGAGGTTGCTGCCTGGTCAGGGGTGGTTCATCGGGGGAGGGTACGACATGCGGTATTGCTACATCGCCGCGTCGATACGGTGGATGTTGAGGGGGGATGTCGAGGAGGGTGAGCCAGGGTGGGTGGAGGATATTGACAAGGAGAGGTTGACGAGTTATATCCTCAGCAGTCAGGTGAGGTGTTCTTTGTTTCTTACCTCACTTCCATCGCTGACTGACAATCTGGCAGACATACGACGGCGGCTTCGCAGGCAGCTCACAGGAAGAACCCCATGCGGGATATGCCTACTGCGCCATCTCTGCGCTTTCCCTCCTCGACCGCCCGTTGCAAACAACCAGCCAACCACCCCCTCCCTCCCCATCACTCTCCCGCATCCGTGACCTCCCCGCCTTAATCCACTGGCTCACCTCCCGCCAATTCATCTACCTCGAACACCCACCCCCTGTTGCAGAACAAGAAGAAGAAGAAGAAGACCCAGTCAACTTCCTCCTCCCCCCTCTCACATCCCTTTCTCTCTCTCCACCCCTCATAGCCTCCAACGGCCGCACAAACAAAGTAGCCGACACGTGTTACACCTGGTGGGTCGTAGCAGCGCTATCCAACCTCTGCCAGTTGCAGCTACTCGGCGACTGGGCACCAGCGAGACGGTTCCTGCTGGAGAAGATGGCGCATCGGATAGGCGGGTTTAGTAAATACCCTGGTGGACCACCGGACGTGTACCACAGCTGTTTTGGGCTGACGGTCATGTCGTTGATGGGGGAGCCGGGATTGCAGAAGTTGGATGGGGGGTTGGCGGTGCCGGTTGTGACGGTGGGGGTTATTGAACAGGCGAGGGGGGAGTTGTTGAGAAGGGCGAGGGGGGAGGGGAAGGGGAAGGGGGTGGTGGAATTGGGGTTGAGGATGAGGGGGGGGACGACGAGGCCGGGGTGGTTGAGGGGGGTTAATTAGGGGTGTTATCCTACAAAGGGTGATGAGGACTTCTGGATGGGTTGGTTAGTGTACCATATATACTTAATATTGGGAGTGTTCGGATCAGAGGTGTGTAATTGTGAGATCATTGGGACGCATCTTGGTATTTTTGCTGTCGATACCGCAACTTGGGCGCCTTTCTCATATCCGCAAAATAAAATAGAATTAAGATCTTGAGTGTGCATTCAGGGGACATTCGGGAGAAACTTGGCTAAAAGCAAAAAATGATATTGTGTCCCCTCGACCGGAATCGAGCCGGTGACCTTTCGGTATCGATAAATTGCATTTACAGCCGAACGTGATAGCCAACTACACCACAAGGGGATTTGATTTGATGGTTACAAGTAGCAGAATGCGCACTTATGGTGATGTGGGGAACATGCGGGATTTTTGTGTTGATCCACGCCTGGGCAAACACTTCCAGTCAAACATGTCAAATGATACCTTGATACAAATCCAACGGCTCTTTATATTTTATCTCACCAAATCATATATATCACCATCCAATTCACAAATCCCCCTCCTCCTCCTCCTCCTCCTCCTCCTCCCCCTCACCCAACACATGCAAAATCAACTTCCTATACCCCTCCACCGCCTCCTCCAGGTCCCTCACCCTCAACCCTTCATCATCCCCATGCGCAACAAGGATACTCCCCGGCCCATAGAGATAACTCGTATGCCCCCCCTCCAAATTCGGAACATCAGTCCCATAACTCGCAACCATAGTCTCAAACCCGTCAACTTCACACCTGCACTTGACCGGCCCATACCCGCCAAACCACTCTGAACTGAGCGCATCCCCGTCTGTCTCCTTGAGAATGTGCTCAATCTTGGCGATAACATCCTTATGTCCCTCCTTTTGACTTCCCGATGCCACCCGAACAGCAAGTCTAGCGCTCGCCGACTTGGGTATCACATTCGCTGCCACCCCCCCCTCCAGAACCCCGATATTAACTGTCGTGTTGCCGTACCTCTCGCTCGAACCAAGGTCAGTGTTGAGGATAGTGTGCAAACTGCGAATCAGCACCTCATTGGCAGATTTGCCTAGCTGTGGGTAGCCTGAATGACCAGCCTTTCCTCGAGAGCGAACAATCCCATTGGTAATCCCCTTGTGGCCGCACGCAAGTTTGTTCTCTGTAGGTTCGCCAAAGATGGCAGAGGCAAAGCGGTACTGCTTTTCGTCGCTGCTGCTGCCAAAGAGAGAAACCTTGCTGCTGCTGCGGGAGCGGCGGGAGAACTCCTTCATGCCGAGGCCGGAAGTTTCTTCGCCAACTACGAAGAGGAGCATCACGTCGGATGGGGAGATGGATTCCGAGGAGAGGAGGGTGGATAAAGCGATGAGCTGCGCTGCAAGAGAGGCTTTCGCATCGACGGAACCGCGGCCGGAGATGAGGGTGTCTGGGGTGATTGGCCCTGACGGTGTGGTTTTGTAGGGAATGTATGGTGGGACGACATCGATGTGGGATGTGATGAGGAGCTTGAAGTCGGCGGTGCTGGGCTTCTTAGCTGTGGGCCAAGCCAGGACATTGCATCTCGTATTCGAGCCTGTGTTTAACCCAGCTGGAATAGGTTGAAGCTCGATAGAGTAGTTTTGCTTGCCGAGATATTCCTGAAGGAACAGAGCGGCGTCCTCCTCGGTGCCACTGAGCGAGGGTATCTCAACGAGGTTCTTGTGAAGGGCGAGGAGGTCATGGCGGTAGAACGGGCCGTCGGCGTGCGGCGTAGGGGTCGCATGTGCTGCTGGTGGGTACAATGCGCTGCATAACAGCAGTGCCTGTGAGATCCGCTTCATTTTGAGTTTTGCACCAACTCTATGCCACCCCAAAGACCGTTGATGAAAGGTGAAAGATGCAACGTCTCGGTCGAGTTCATAGCGCTGATGAGGTCATCCTTTCAGTGGGTCCAAAAACATGCACAAATCGCCAATGCAGGGGCTGTGGGGCGCTGCATGACTTGTGCGCTTTACACAGCATCATCTCATCTTCAAGCTTCGAGGAAACAAATATGTTC